CTCCAACATCGTACCCGCTCACTTGTACAGCCTCTAACATCGTACCCGCTCACTTGTACAGCCTCTAACATCGTACCCGCTCACTTGTACAGCCTCTAACATCGTACCCGCTCGCTCGTACAGCCTCTAACATCGTACCCGCTCGCTCGTACAGCCTCTAACATCGTACCCGCTCGCTCGTGCAGCCTCTAACATGTCACCTTGCTGCAGGTCTGATGGCACGATAGGTCTAGATGTGAATTTCTCGCTCGTGCAGGCTCACACATCGCACACTCATCCGCCCTCTCGCTGCTGCAGGTCCGACGGCACGATAGGTCTCGTCGAGGAGCTGCTTCTGTGGAACTTCCTCACAGAGCGCGACCACCGCTGGTTCCTCAACTGGGACCTCGACGACGAGATGAACTTTCTCGTCGACTGGGACCTCGACACGATATCGGACGTCGAGCTCAGCGACTACGACTCCGACGACAGCTAGCCGCCCCCGCTCGCTCGCTCGCTCGATGAGATCGCGTGCGACGCGATGATCGGATTTATTGTGCGCGCGGCGTCGCGATTGGTCGTGCGTCGCAGCGACGGCGCGACCTGGCGGCGAATGCCAGCAACGCGGCCGCCTGTCGTTGTTTTCTAGGTTTAGTTCCGCGCGCGGGGCGACGGGCCGGCGCACGGACGCGCGTTTGTTTGGCGAGTGTTTCGCGGGATCGCCGTACTCCCGACCACGCCTCTCCCACTCGCCCCGGCCAACACGCTCGCACCCACGCGCGACGTCTGTGCCGGGAGGGAAGCTCGGAGGTCCGTCGGGGTGCGTTGCCGGCGGCGCCAGCTTTCTCCTGGAGTTGGGGGCCGTCGCGAGAGCGGAAACCGCGTCGACACTAACGTGGCGCCGTCTGTGCGGAAATTTGCGCGACCTCCGTATCTTGTGGGCGGGGAAGCGCTATCGGCGCGGACGCGCAAGAAGTGGGGATGAGTCGTTTAGGTAATAGTCGTTGTTGCTCGTGCCCCAGTGCGGGCGTGGTTTAGGATGTGTTGGGGGTGGGGAGTGTGTGGCGGAGCTGCCAGCGTAGTGTTCGTTAACGTCGTTCGTCGCGGATGTACCCCGCGTAGTATAGAGGGCGTTGTGTGTGTCCGTGCACTGACGGTGAATCGCGCGATCACGCTCGCGGCACGTAGCTAGTGTTTGGGAATTTATTTAGAAAATTATCGAAAAAAATCTCAACGGAAAAAAAAAGCGTTTAGCAGGTGACGGAGCCCCAGGGCGAAATTGTAAATTTAGATAGGTAATTTAGGCTCTCTTCGTAATGATCTACGTTGGATATTTTGCATATTTCGAACAAACTTGATCTCATACCACGTGTGAAAGATGCGCGATTTTAAAACTTTGTGTGAAATCTCGATTGATGTCTCGCTGCAATGGTCACTGACTTCCCCTGGCTGTTAACACCAGTTTGATGTCTCGTCTTTCTGTATGGGGGGACGGGCTCACATTTAGACGTTACGGTTTTGAAGGTTCCCACTCCAGGAATTGTTGTTTGGTGCAGGTGAGAAGTATATACCCTCATTTATAATCGAATGTTATTCGGAGAGTGTTAATTCGATCGTTGACATTTTTTGCTCGTTGTCTATTTCACTACCGTCTCGCTCGACCCTGTCCCTTCCCTAGTGTTGGACGGGCTGTCGGATTTGTATATCTATAGTCGACGTAATTCTACCTAACTGGCGTTTCCACGCGCTCGCTTTGCCATTTCTGGGCGATCAGAGTGAGCTTATACACGTGACGATTCGATGTGGTCACATGGCCTACTGTGACGTTTCTGATTGGGTAGTCGCTGCACACTTAAACGCGTATGATTTGACGAGGTAGTGAGTATGGCGAGCATTGACATTCGTAGCCATCGAACAACGGTCGCCTGGAAAGCCTGCGCATGAAATATCAGCGCCGGTGCTGTTTGCATGTTACCGCGGCAACCACGCGGAGTCGTCGCTTTGTCTGGCATCGATGCTCGCTTGGCACCAAGTTTGATGTTACTGTTCGTAGTTGCCTCGAACAAAGTTCAACTTGAATATTGGTAATCTCTGTAATATTACTCGCCATAATTTTCCTTTTGTCAGATGAGCACAGTTCTTTGTGCGTTTGATTCCAGGTCATGTTATGATATTTTCAGTTTAGTAGCGACATCTGGTGGTACGAGTAAGAGACTCCTCAGTCTAAGCACGTTCAGTATGGGCGACAGACCTAAATAGTTGTACTATTCCTATCACTGGAACACCCTTCTCTGATACATCTAATTGAGACTCCGGTGTCTTGGAAGCCTAGGAATTAATAGATGGTTGGACGGCTGTATGTAACGTTAATGTTTGTTATACGAGTGAATAACTTCAAATTCTCCTGAAGTCGATTGGCTAGCACCGATTGTGTGTTTTAGCCTTCTATTGCTATTCCATTTTCGTTCGTTATCCCTTGTAATATAAAACGTGTCTTGACTCACTGATGGTGTCTATCGTAACGTGGTTTAACTTTTTCACTAAAGAGTACCTTGTTAGAAATAATATTCGTAAAAAAACATTTGTAAAAATCTTTAATTAAACTAGCTCGCTGCATAGGTGTGCGTATGTGCGTGCGTGTGTGTGTGTGCATGCGTGTGTGTGTGCATGCGTGTGTGTGTGCATGCGTGTGTGTTTGTATGTGTGCAAAGTCGAGATGGTGTTAAATAATATGACTTGAGCAGTACTTAAACAAATGTGTTTTATGATCTCTAGTGAGCATGAATGTATAATAAATGTGTTTATTGCGTGCTCGGACTTAAAGGAGTGCAACGTCATAAGATCATCACTACCCATATGTGTGTGTATATGTGTGCATGTCTTTTAATTCAATATGGCCACGTTCTTCGCAGACAGAACTTTACACCAGCTTTTTGTTATGAGCTTATGCCAGCTTCATGTGCCCGTTTGATGACGGTGGGGATGGATAGCAAACCTTCTATATGGCTTGTGCTGCCTCCAGCGTCCACGGTGCACATGCTGCTCCCCCCCCCCCTCTTTCTCGCTCTCCTTCCTTAGCCTTCTCCCTCTGACTCTCCTCTCGCGCTTGGTTTTCGCTATGACCATTCATCGACGGTCAGCTCAAGTGATTTCGGTGTCAGCTTGGTGTTCGGTTTTATGTTTCGTTCGAGCTTCGTTCTTTACCCTGCCGCACCTCTTTATCTCACCCATGCCCTGCTCTAATGGAGACCCTTAATCATTTGCCGTGTGTTTATTACGCAGGGGCGTGTACAGGGGGGGGTCCAGGGGGTCCGGACCCCCCCTGCTCGCGCAGAAAACGCATCTAAGGGGGTCTAATTTCAAAAAAAATTTCAAACCCAGACCCCGCCTTCGCGTGCTCCCAAGTTTGGGTTACGGTTAGACCCCCCCCCCTGGTACAAATCCTGTACACGCCCCTGTTACGACATCAGTGCATGCATCGTGCGGACCTAGCTGCTAGTTCAGTCGGTGTATGAAGCTAATAGAGCGGGAAACGATGACAGTCAGCGTAAGCACAGTAACACGGGGTGCGTGTGCGCAGCGCAGTGTAGCCGTTACCATGCCAGCTATCGTGACGCAGAAGTACTCGTAGGTTAGAGTGTAGCTGCAGTTCAAGTGAACAAGAGTTTCGGCTGATAACGTACGCGTGAGTGTGCGCGAACGGCTGGGTGGTTAGGATGGTTGCTATAGGGAAAAAATGTCCCTAACCCCGTATTGTTCGCGTGTAGCTGTTGCTATGTGTAGAGTCGTTAGGGTTATGAACGTCATCGTCCTGACTGGTAGTGTTAGTAGCCGTGAGGTGGGGTTCTTGTATCGGCATACACTTGTACTTACTTTACCTTGCTCCTCTCACTCGGCTCACGCGTTCCCTGTCTTGCAGTGCTTCGATGCGTATCGTTAGAAACCATATCATTTGCTGCGGTTACGCAGGTTGGCACACATTGGAGACGTAACCTGCTCTAATCTGTGTATGTGAGCAGGGAGTGGTGTCACACTTACTTTTGTCGTCTTGGTTGATTTTTGCCGAAGTTGTAGGCGCAGATATTGCGTGATAAACGATTGATGAAATCTCAGCGATGTTATATTATTGGTATCTTGTCGCGCATTTCTGTTATACGAGCAAGCGACGGAAGATTTCCCGCTGTCGCTGTTCACCGATTTTGCTTGCAAGTTGTTATCAGGGCGTTGAGAATGACAGCGTGTATGCGAGTGTTCGATCACTCGTTTTACTAGACTTTATCCGAGCATTCCATTTTATGTTGATTGTTATTTGGGTCGTGCGATCGCAAACAGTCGGCTGCCATCTTGCGCCGATGGTTCGTCGTGGACCGCTGCTGGCGGCTTACCTCTCCACGCTGACATTCTGTTTATTACATACACTCTGTCTATTCTCTCTATACATTCTATCAGGAGTTAATAAAGTCTTTATTTGTCCTTATTAACTCCTGATTCTATCAAAAGCTAATCAATACCTTATAGCTATTTATACCTATAGGTATTCATTAGCTCTTGATTCTATCAGGAGTGAATAATAATAGATTATAATAATAAATCTATTATGAATTATTCGCTCCCGATTCTGTCCGTCGCAGATTACTCGCCCGTAACGTCTCGTCGCAGGGCGAAGACATTTAAACAAATTTTTCGGCAACCGCGCCCCTTTAACCGATGGGTCGCCATGTTCCTCCGCGCGGAAGGCGGCGTGATGTCGTCGCTGTTTTTTTCCCCGCGAGGACGCATATACCGAGCGGAGAACTTCGCGTGCTGCCGGCGTAGCAGAATTACGCATGATAGCGATATCCTCGCGGGTGCTATCGGAAGCCGTGCTTCTCGCAGACGAATTACCTCTCCATGAATCGCCGTCTACGTTTCGAATCGGGGCTGGCGTGTTTAGCGCCCCCTATATCGCTTTAAACACGTGAACGTCTCAGAATCGGTAACTGCTTGTACTCGTGGCTGGTGTCACTGTTCTCCCACCTGCCTGCCAAGCATCGAAGCTGCTACGCTCGAGATAGTGTTGTGTGTTTTCATTAATGACAATAAATGCAAAGCGGGTCAAAAGACTGACGAATCTGTTCTATTTTATTATGTTTGGGTTCTTGACAGTCCTTCAGACGGCAACAGACTATGTGTGCATCCACCGTTTGTAATGTTCACAAACACGTTCATGTGTCTGATTTATTGCCACTAAGTAAACGGGATGGCTAGGATGTCTTATATTATTACCTTTTCCCTATCTGTACGTGTTCAATCGGTAGGTGTGCTTTGCTCCAACAATTTCGTTCAGCTTTCTCAGACAGCTTACACTAAAAAAAAACTGCAAAACGTTCTTCAATATATAGGTTTTTTTATTCAACTAACAACAGATATACGAATTCATCAATCTCAACATTGTCCTTTCAACTGAGGCAGTCGAGTACAATAGTATCAGGTGTACAATATAACGGATATCTGACGGATATATATAATGGATCAAAAAATGTACGATGCTATAATGTATTCCTGATCATATGATAATTTCTTCGTGATATGTACATACTAGATTGTACTCCAACCTAGTAGTAACGACAACAAGTGGAATTATCACATCTAGACACAAAGATCCAAGTGTGCCTCACATGTGCTTGCTCTTTTTTTGTGGTATTTTGGCACACACACACACGCACGCGCACGCACGCAATACACACACGCACGCACGCACACGCACACACACACACACGCGCTCACACACACACGCGCTCACACACACACACGCACCCGCACATGCACACACACACAACTGAACATAGATAGAACACTTGATATTTATCCAACCAGGTGTCACTATTTAACAAATGACGCTTGAACCAACGTCTTGATTGTTAAATGCGAAAGTTTTGGTATGAATGTTAAATATCAGAAATATTCCCTGATATATACCTTATATTATAAATGAGAATAAAAAATAAGCATTAAGTTAAATAATGATATTAAAGATTAACTTATTAAACTATAACACTTCAGAAAAATATCAGAAAAAAAACTATACGTTGTGAATAACATTCACAATAAAATACTGAATATTAGGATACCGAAAGCATTGAAGTTACATCTGTTTTTTCCCTTGCCAATTGGGAAAGCAGCATAGTTCCATCAATGTTGCGCATCACAGCTTTATCATTGGAAATTACTAGTACAATAAAAGCAATGTCTACACATGACAAAAGCTTAATATGAGGGCCAGACTAGACGGCCATCAACAATCAAACGGTAAAAGCACTACATATGATAAGATGACTTGGAACCTTAATGATAATTAAGATGACTTGACACGGTTATCTGGCAGCGTTCGTGCCATGATTGTACAAAGCAGCACTTTAGCGCACACCGCACGCACACGCACACGCACACACAAATGATATGACTTAAAGACGCAAATCAATAACAAAAATCCGTCGCTGAAACGACACCCACCCGATAAACATACCGCGCAACGAGGCAGCGATCACGCGGACGTCTCGCCCGCGACGTTGCGCCGCCTCACCGCCGCGTCCGCCTCGCAGGCGCCCTCTAGCTGTCCCTCGCTCGCCGCGCGCTGTGGCGGGGCGCCGCCGGCCATCGCCGCGCACTCGCGCTCCATCTTCAGCATCTCCGGGTTCAGCTTCACCGAAGCTATGCTCACGCTGCTGCCGACCGGGTAGATCGGACGCTCGAACACCGGCGCCGGCTGCCGCGTCGCGCCCACGAAGCTGACGGATCGCCGCGGCAACGCGCCGCCGCGCAGCGACGATCGCTTCGGCCGCGGCGACGCTCGCGCTGTCTCGCGGTGGTCGCCGACGATGCGGATCGCTCGTCCGAGCGCGACGACGTTCACCAACACCTTCAGCGAGAGCAGACACAGGAAGCCGACGGCGACGGTCGCCCAGCCGGCCGCGCCCTCTACGCTGACGCTCTGCATGACGATGCGTGCGATGAGCACGCTCAGCGGAATCGGGATGAATCCCATCCGGCGCGAGACGAGGTCGCAGTGGTCGGAGAACGCCGTCTTGCGACGGCTCGTCGTCATGTCGTACGCGAGGCTCGTCGTGAACTCCCGGTACACCTCCGCGGGGATCTCGTTGAACTTGGTGATGAATGCGTGCTTGAGCCAGTCGACGAACAGCTCGGCGACAAGGACGACGATCATGTCGGGGATGAGAACCCAGAAGTGGTCGGCGTTCCACGCGAACTCCGTCATGTTGCGCATCATGACGACGAAGAGCAGCGCGTGGTAGTGGAAGCGCTCGCGCACGTCGCTCACCGACATCTGGAAGAGGTTGTTCCGCTCGAAGCGCTTGAATACGCTGCCCTTCAGCTCGACAAAGTTGTTCGACAGCATGATCGTGAGCAGCGCCTTGTTGTGCGAGTTGAAGGCGACGTTTAGCGTCGTCGCCTGCAGCAGTACGAGCGTCGCGTGGATGAACACGTAGACGACCGCGAGCGCAAAGTGCGGAACGATGCCGAAGTGCTCGCGTTTCCGCGCGCGCGGTTCCGTCGCCGTCCAGAAGAGGGCGTCGAGGATGTCCTGTCCGAACGAGGAGAACAGCTTGTCGGCGATCTCGAGCATGTTGAAGAAAATGTAGAGCTTGATGACGGCCTGCCCGCGCACTATGTGGTACAGCACAGACACGTCGACGAAATTCAGCAGCGCGACGCACGTCACCAGCAGCGCCCCCTTCAACACGTCGCAAATTTCCGACGGCTGCAGCCAGCGCCGCGACGACGTCGACGCGGCGGGGGCGGAGGGGAGGAACGGGCGGAAGAGCAGGGAGGCGAGCGCGAGGAGAACGCGCAGGGGAAGGTAGGTAAACACGTAGAGAAACGCGTCGGCGCACTGGAAGAAGCCGAACAGCATGAACTTCTCGACCTCGCGCGGGATCTTCATGAACGCGTAGACGCGGGCGCGCTTCGCGGAGAACGTCGCCTCGTTCGTCTCGGGCAGGTAGTCGCTGCGAAGCTCCGACTGCAGGTACGCGAACAGCGACGGCGGCGCGCGTTTCCCGTCGCTCGTCGGACCCGCCTCCGCCTCCTCGCCGCCGCCATCCTCGCGGTCATCGCCGGATCCGGAGTCTCTCTCGTCGCCGACGTTCTGCGTTTGACGACCGTCTGACGACGAGAGTTTCGCTTCCCGATTGTTTTCGGGTAATGGACCTGAAGTTTAGATGATGAATATTGAAGGTTCCACGTGAATTCTACGTAGCATGCACAGTAACCATGATATTGATAGTGTAACTGTAAGTGGCAATCCCGTTTCGGATTAATGACTACTTGCAATTAAATATGTTACCTACTCTGTCTACTTCAGTTAACGTTGATATCTACGTTACACCTAACTCGACCAGGCTGTGTGACTAACGTCAATACACACGGTATTCTAACCCTAGCAATACCGTTTCTTGGAGCTAGTCTTACATAACTTATAAGCCTACCTAAATTTTCTATTAATTTTGACGTCGTTGCTGCATCAATTTGCATTGTTAGTGGTCGACCAGTCATCTCTCGAGTTGCCTCCTCAAGCAATCTGTCGAGGCTGTCAGATCCTCTCGGCTCATCTGCGTTCATTTTTAAAGCATGCAACTGGACTACTTAGTTATTTCAAAGGGGGAGAAGTTTTCCTTCCCACTGTAGGACGCCATTTTTAATGTTGTGCGCGCCATCTAACAATTGCTAATATACATCTTGTATTTTAGTCACTGGTCCTTTTCTTTATTTGAACGACATCCTAATCGTACAATCTCTTACCCACAGCCTATCAAAACATTTTAACTATCATCAAACAACATTATTTTATTTTTTCCCCCCGATGTTTAACAATTATTCCCCTGAACACAAACAAGCAGCCGCCACGCATGATAGCCTGTAGCAGGCGCGCAAATCAATTTTGAAATGTGGGGGGGGGACACCAGTAGCGAGCACGCGAAAGTGGGTGGGTTCTGGAAGGCCCTCCCCCAGAAATTATTTGAAATTAGATCCCCTCAGATGCGTTTTCTGCGCGAGCAGGGAGGGGGGGTCCGGACCCCGTTGGA